CCACCGTGTAGCATTATGTTGTTAATACCAACACCACAGTAACACCACCACTAAGTTATTATCACCATCATCAAAATAACAACACCATAAAGTTGTTATCACCATTCCATAAAAACACAAAGTTATTATCACTATCACTGGAGATCTCTAGCTAACAAGACTGGGCTACAAAAGGACACACTCAGATTGGGCTAAATAAACCATCTAAAGATGCTGTTACCTACTGTACTGTTTAACACATTATAGAACTGATTGTGATACTTCAGCTCAGCAGGTGACTGCTGGAATGAAGACACGTCCACCTCCCTCCGTCTGCTCAGTAACTACTTCTGTAACGCTCCATTATTTTCTACTGATCCTGTAGCCTTGCAAAGCTTTGTGAGCAGGAAGGTTAAAATTTTCACGTTACCGCTAGAGCCGTAACCACCAGTTAGATAAGCACTTGGAACTGACCACCATCTTCTGACCAGGAAGTGCTAATCCGCCCACCCTGGGGACAAAAAGAAGCCGGCTGGCTATGCACCTGACTACGAATAACACAACATCACCAGCAGTGAGGTACTGTGACACCACCCCACACCACACAGTCCCCATGACCACGTGAGGTCCTTCTATATGAACACCCGAGGACGAGTTACCAACACCATTTGAACACCACACCACTAGTGTCTCAATGACCAGTCCAGGCCCGCCAACAACTATAAACTATAAACCCATGTTCAATTCGCCCTTTCTTTTTTCAGTAATGAAAGCTTTTTGTTAAACGATCCACCAACCTCATGTCTTTGTATAAGTCATTTTTCCCAATGTATAATTTTCTGCATTGGCCGCAGAACTTTTCAATAAACCGTTAATTATTAACATATACACAAACACACACACAACCTCAGTCACCGTTAATTAAATATTGACAAATACAACCTACAGAGGACGAAGATACTATATACTACGCTAAAATGAAAAACATGAAAACAAAATGGATGATATTAGGGCCTTGGTATAAACCAGACTAATAGTTACGTCTGAATCCCCAGTGCAGAATCATTTACAGAATGTTTCAACTGCCACAGAAACTTCCAACCTCACTACATTATGTTTTACTAGAAGCTATTCGTAAAAAACAAAACAATGTATATCCAGGTTTAATCACCACGATTACCACGAGATAATGAGGTCATTACTGAACACTTTTGTCCAACGCCTGTCTCCTTATCATCCTCCAGAGCTCACCAATCGTTCTTTGCAATGTCCAGATAAAATGTTTATTGAATAATTATATTATTTTGCAGAATTTAATAAGAAACTGGTAACATTATATTAAGCAAAGTCAGCAGGAAATGGACATCGAAATTACGAATTATAAAATGAGTTGGGTATAAGATATACCAAAAATTAAATGGAAAAAAAGAAGTGCAACCCAAGAGTTATACTGAAAGATGACATTCTAGTTATTTACCGCTGGTGGATGTAAATAGCTGTCATGATGTGTTAAGGTGTATTGAAAAAAAGATGCATATACGTCATGTAAACTAAAATATATAATTGTACAATGCACATCTGCCTCAACCTGTCTTTTTCTTACTCCCGTGGTGATGTGCCTTATGAAGTGGGAGGAGGCAACCTACTATACTGAGTTGTTCAAGATGGGTTCCAGCTGTCACTTAGCATACTGACCTACTTTGCTTAGGAGCAAATTGAATTAAGTAAGCCGTGCATTATATTACCAATATAATTTAACAGGAAGCGCATTTAGGTATTCATAATTTTTCAAAAAGGACTACAGTTTGCAACATGGTCTCAGTATCTCGGTGTTGACCCAAGGAATATGTAGTGTCAAGGTTTCTGGAGCCGAGTCCACAAGACACTACGTATATAATATTATTGTCATCAGAGTTGCTTGGGAGTTCAGAGTTAGTTTTGCAAAAGTTATAATAATTCGGCAGCGTGGTCAGGTACCCAATCACAGCTGGGTGGGACGTACCCCGGATCGAAAGAATGACTTATGGAGAGGAGCCAAGTGTTGCATCCTTGGACGCTACACTCCATGCCATCAAATATACACAAGGCGTACATGAGGCAGAGGACAGCGACACTTCAGACACGCCAGGACCCCTGGCGTGAAGCAGGTGGTGGAGGCCAGGCGAGGGTGCTACCACACGGAGTATCATGTCTGCACCCGCCCCACACACCCGCAGCATCACGTCCACACCCGCCCCACACCCGCAGTATCATGTCTACACCTGCCCCACCCGCAGTATCATGTCTCACCCGCCCACACCCGCAGTATCATGTCCACACCCGCCCCACACCCGCAGTATCATGTCCACACCCGCCCCACACCCGCAGTATCATGTCTACACCGCCCCACACCCGCAGTATCATGTCTACACCCGCCCCACACCCGGTATCATGTCTACACCCGCCCCACACCCGCAGTATCATGTCTACACCCGCCCCACACCCGCAGTAATGTCTACAACCTGCCCCACACCCGCAGTATCGCGGCACGAAAATGTCACAAAGAAAGTTTAACTATCTACAAACTGCAAAACAGTTAATATCCGCAATTTTGTTAAAAAATTACGCCATTATCACATGACATATGAGCGACACCGAGCTAGCATAGAAGAGCAGAGGGAGACTGAACAAAGACTCTACCCACTAGGGACGTTATTGTGATTGATTACAATAGACGCAAAAATCCTTCTCTTTACCTCAGTGGTGATTGATTTCACTATTTTACCTAAGAGAAACAGTGAACTGGGTAAAATTTAACTAATATGATTAAATATTATGTTGGCCACCCAGTGAAATGTCAGCCAAATAAACCTGGGTGGCCGGCTACCAGATACGCGGCCCCGGTAGCTTACGAGATGAGGGGTTGTATTGATGATATAACAAAGGTACATAAACTATCCGACCAGGAGCAAACTCGTAGCACTGGTTTTACAGTAAATTAGACAATTTAGATTTAAGCGCAAGATAGGTAAACACTTGCTTGGAAATAAAGCACAGATGAGTGGAGCAAGTTGCCAACATCATCATTAACTCTAACATGCTGGGAAGCTTCAAATATAGGTGGGACGTATATATAAACGATAGGTATTGTGTAAACAGGACTGTCCAGCATTGGCCAATAGGCATGTTGCAGTTTCTTCCATTCTTATGTTCTTATATATCATCCCATTATGGTAAAGTTTACTTCGGAATGATCATCATGAGAACAGACGTGTGCCTGAAACGCTCTATTATATCAACAACCGGGTTTTCTATCAGAGATAACACCAACTAACTTTTTTTGTACGGGGGAATAGTTCACCCAGGCACAGGTCATCGACCCACAACGGGCCTGGGAGGAAAAAGATAAGAGTAAAAGAAATTCAAAATAGAAGAGAACAAGACTATTAAATCGTTAAATTAATTTAACATCAATTGTAGGCAAATTAATGGAAGCAATAATTTCTAACTTTCGAAATAACTTAGAAACCAAATTCATCAATGATTCCTAGCATGGCTTCACAAGTGGTTGTTCATGTCCGACAAATCTATTATCATTCTTTCAACTTTTTTTCTCAAATCAGTGAATGAAGGACACGATTGTGATGTGGTTTACCTGGTTTACCTGACTCTAGCAAGGTCTTCAACAGGGTCCCCATGAAAGACTAATACATGAAGTGGAGGCTCATGGAATTGGAGATGTTTTAAACTGATTAGGGCGTGGTTACAGGACAGAAACAGAGAGCCAGCATTAATGACACTAAATCTGATTGGAGTATCGTCACGAGTGGAGTACCCAGCGATCAGTACTTGAACCATTACTATTTATTATATACATAAACGACATAGATATAAGAAAAAGACAGCAACATAAGTAAATTTGCTGATGACACTAAACTAGGGCGTGTAATTAAATCTGACAAGAACTCCATAAACTACAGGAATATCTAAAACATATTTTTCGCCTGGTCTGTAAAATGGCAGAACAAAATTGAATGTGAAAAATGTAAAGTACTTAGTCTAGAGAAGTAAACAGAGAAAACATATATCAGATGAACAACGTTGACATAGAGAAATCCGACAGTGAGAAAGATTTATGGTAATGTTGAATAGAAATCTTGTGTTAGTGTTTTTTACATCACACACAAATATATATAATGGTTCTGGAACCTTATGGCAGGGTTGATGTATACACTTGTTCTGGGCTTTTTATTACTGGCGCGGCTATCAACACAGGTACTAGTTTGGGAGAGAATGTATTGTGAAGTCCTCCAGGTGTCTTGAGGGCACTTATATATTAGGAACACTTAATGAGGTGTTCACTGGTAACTAGTGGTAAGAAGTCTAGCCTTTGTGACCGTGAGAAGGGAGCCGGCAGGCGGGCTGTTGTGCTTAGTGGCTTGAACTCGCCTGACTCCCCTCATGAAGTTATGGACTCAGCTTGTATAACATGAACAACTACTGAGTCATTGTTGAATAACTTAGTGAATAATTCGGTATTATACATTTTGGTGAATGTTTATATAATGCAAATGGTGCTGTTGCAATCTTAAACCAAGAAACCAAGAGAACAATGAGTATTTGCTCAAACGAGGCTAACAAAGTACTGGGTTCATGCAAGGGAGTGTTAGTGTTAAACCTAGCGGAGGTTATCCTAAACTATATCGTGCGCATGAGACCTCACTTGGGATATACAGTTCAGGCTTGTCACCGTACCACAGAATGGATATCATCCTTAGAAAGCATACAGAGGAGGATGACAAGATTAATCCCGCATTAGTAACCCTGAGTATGGAGATAGATTAAAGCATCTGAATTTGCTCTCCTCGAGAAACGTAGACTGAGGGCGATGACTGAGGTGTAGAAATTGAAGTCAGTGTTAAAAAAAGTGGTAGCAAAGGTACTTCAGTTAACCAATGGGCAACGAACAAGTAGCAATAGTTTATAAAAAAATAGATTAGGGCGAGATAAGTAAACACTTGTTTGGAAATCGAATAGTGGATGAGTGAATAAGTTATCATACACCATCATTAATCGAACACGCTGGGTAGCTTCATTAATAAAGGTTGGTATGAGCAAGAGAGGTCGGATGTAAACGGACGCAGTAGGCTAATAGGCCCGCCGCAATTTCTCCAGTCTTGTAGTTCTATGTTCTTATCTATAAAAGGGTGGGGGAGTGCCCAGTACTGTCCTGTAAATAATACAATTGTTTTCATCTGATCATCCATGCGTAATAAACATTCTTAATCTTCTTACTCTAACTTTTCTTCATTATACACCAAGTAAGTTAGAAGTCACCGTTTTCTGGACGGCAGAGTGTTTCTTGCTAGTCCAACTTTTCCTCTCACACGTTGCATGTTAACTGTATTTGTAGCTGCAGTATGTTTATGTTAACTATACCTGCAGCTGCAGTATGTTTGCTAACTATAATTTGTAGCTGTAGTATGTTTATGTTAACTGTATTTGTAGCTGCAGTATGTTGATGTTAACTATACTTATAGCTGTAGTATGTTTTATGTTAACTATACTCTGTAGCTGTAGTATCTTATGTTAACTATACTTGTAGCTGTAGTATGTTTATGTTAACTATGCTTGTAGCTGTAGTATGTTATGTTAACCATACTTGTAGCTGTGGCATGCTGATGTTAACTATACTTGTAGCTGCAGTATGCTTCTTATGTTAACTGGGCATTTGTAGCTGCAGTATGTTTCTATGTTAACTATACCTGTAGCTGTAGTAATGTTTATGTTAACTATACTTGTAGCTGTAGTATGTTTCATGTTAACTGTATTTGTAGCTGTAGTATGCTGATGTTAACTATACTTGTAGCTGTAGTATGTTTATATGTTAACTATACTTGCATGTAGTATGTTTGTTAACCATACTCTGTAGCTGTAGTATGCTTCTTATGTTAACTATGCTGTAAGCTGCAGTATGTTGGCGTTAACTGTATTTGTAGCCGTAGTATGTTTTATGTTAACTGTATTTGTGCCGCAGTATGTTTATGTTAACCGTATTTGTAGCCAGTATGTTTGCGTTAACTATACCGTAGCTGTAGTATGTTTGGCGTTAACTATACTTGTAGCCGTAGTACGTTTATGTTAACCTATTTGTAGCTGTAGTATGCTGGATGTTAACCATACTTCTGTAGCTGAAGCGTTTATGCTAACTATACTTGTAGCTGCAGCATGCTTTATGTTAACCATAAGTAATTTGTAGCTGGTAGCATGTTTATGTTAACTATGCTTGTAGCCAGTATGTTATGTTAACTATACTTGTAGCTGTAGTATGTTGATGTTAACTATAATTTGTACGCAGTATGTTTATGTTAACTGTATTTGTAGCTGCAGTATGTTTATGTTTTAACTATACCTGGTAGCTGCAGGTATGTTTATGTTAACTATACTTGTGCTGTAGTATGTTTATGTTAACTGTATTTAGCTGTAGTATGTTGGATGTTAACTATACTTGTAGCTGTAGTATGTTTATGTTAACTATACTTTGTGTAGTATGCTTTATGTTAACTATGCTTGTAGCTGTAGTATGTTATGTTAACTATACTTGTAGCTGTAGTGATGTTGGGATGTTAACTATACATGTAGCTGTAGTATGTTTATGTTAACTATACTTGTAGCTGTAGCATGTTTATGTTAACTATACTTGTAGCTGTAGTATATTTATGTTAACTATACTTGTAGCTGTAGCTGCCTATGTTAACCATACTTGTAGCTGTAGTACGTTTATGTTAACTGTATTTGTAGCTGTAGTATGTTTATGTTAACTATACTTGTAGTTGCAGTATGTTTATGTTAACTATACTTGTAGCTGTAGTATGTTTTATGTTAACTATACTGTAGCTGTAGTATGTTTATGTTAACCATACTTGTAGCTGTAGCATGTTTATGTTAACTATACTTGTAGCTGTAGCATGTTTATGTTAACTATACTTGTAGCTGTAGTATGTTTATGTTAACTATACTTGTAGCTGTAGTATGTTTATGTTAACTGTATTTGTAGCTGTAGTATGCTTGTTAACTGTACTTGTAGCTGTAGCATGCTTATGTTAACTATACTTGTGGCTGTAGTATGTTTATGTTAACCATATACTTGTAGCTGTAGTATGTTTATGCTAACTGTATTTGTAGTTGTAGTATGTTTATGTTAACTATACTTGTAGCTGTAGTATGCTTCTATGTTAACCATACTTGTAGCTGTAGCATGTTTATGTTAACTGTATTTGTGTAGCTGTAGTATGTTGATGTTAACTATACTTTGTAGCTGAAGTATGTTATGTTAACTATACTTGTAGCTGTAGTATGTTTATGTTAACTATACTCTGTAGCTGTAGTATGTTTATGTTAACTATGCTTGTAGCTGTAGTATGTTTATGTTAACTGTACTTGTAGCTGTAGTATGTTTATGTTAACTGTACTTGTAGCTGTAGTATGTTTATGTTAACCATATTTCT